ATGAAATTACGCTACGTTCGCGTTGATTTGATCAAGCGTTGATATCATCCTCGTACGTTGAAAATGTTTGAAGTCACCTGAAAGGAGTAACAGAGTACCGCCAAATAGTTAGTCGTGGTGTTTTATGTCTTACAATGTTCTATCTAATGTCTCAAGCGAATGTTAGTGTGTCATCGTGCCATTTTTGATTTAAATATAAATGATAGTTTTGTATTGTTCCAACACTGTGACCATAGACGATTGCTTTTTTATGTTGCCCGTTGAATCTGGGTTATTTTGAAAGTTTAATGGTAGCTTAAATGCTGAATGAACTTTTCTGTCTCCATCTAATAAAGTTGTTGGAATACGAGCTGAGGCCACGGCTAATGTGATGCCGTTTTTGATCGTATCTCACCAAGAAGTCTCGAAACAAAGCATGTTTTAGCAGTTCCACCTTGTCCATCCGAAACTGGTAGCATTAATTAATTTTTGTTCATCATTTCGTAGTGGAACATTGCGAGTAACAGTCGGAGCCAATTTGACAGTTTCATACCTTATATCTGTGTTTATTAAATCAGATGCACTTCGATTTGGTGAACTCATACCGAAATGGCTGATTGGTAAATTCGCAATGACAATGCAATGATCCTCAATAGTAATCAATTCTTCAGTGTACATTGCTTGACTGAATGATATCGTTAGATCGTTGCACCTTCTACGATTTCAATACAGTATTGTATATCATCAGTCATCGAATCTTTATGATGATTCCACAACATTTGTGGTTAAATAAGTAAAGCTTCCTGCCCTGAAGAACACAACTACACCGCTCAACACACCACTCACAAAACAACACTGGCAAACACACACCACCACTGGAAGCAGCAGTACACCCACACACCACACACCAATGCAACTCTACTGTAAGCAGACGCATACACACACAATCGGATTGCGAGCATCCCACATCGGCGGACTTTTCTTGGTGCGCGACTCACCTCGTATGTTCATTTAACTGGAAGTGATTCCGTTAAAACCACTTTTATATAGCTATTCAAAAAATAAATTTTGTGAACTTTTAAAGAAAAGACAAACTTACGGATAATTTTAATCCCATTTGCACATACGCGTAGTGATTGCGACACGTAAGTAGTGGTGTTAACAATTTGTATTTGGATCGGGAAACATGTCATCAGTACTATAGCAAATAGTAGACGAATTTTTGTTCCAGTGTAGTTTAATGCAGCTGCAGGAAGCATACTGTCACAATGGTTATCACAAGATATGCATCTTTATACGTTGGATATTGTTGTCCATTTCTTTACGTATATCTCAGTCTGCCTTGTATTGACTGAATATACTAATTATTATAGCACGATCACGTTCATGAAAACTGTATAGAGAGTGAGAAAAAGAAAGCGAGCTTTCTTTTCATTGCTACTCCGTAAAGTTTGATTGATATACTACAATTATTATTTTCGATTGCCATCTTGTGAATCTGTGGATGGAACGGAATAATATAAAAATTGCGATTAAAAATCAGGAGTTGATAGTAAAAGGGTGAAAACTTATAATTTCAGGTATTTTTCAATGCTGAATTACGGGAAAATTATAAGACAAAATTCCCTCCATATGTGAGGTCCGATTTTGACAGTTTTTAGACTCAAGAGAGTATACCGTAAAAGCAATATTTCTGCAAAGTCTCATCTAAATATAATATATTAATTTATGCTTGCTTTGTGAACTGGAAAGTGAAAGAATCATATGGAATTTAAAATTGTGCTACTTGTATATGGGAAGTAAGCGTGGTTGTTGTCCGATTGAAAATGGTGGGTTAGGTTCGGGAATATTTGATTTCACCTAAACGTGTTCGATGCCACGCCCATAGACCAATTTTGACACCTGCTACTATAAAGTTCTAATGTAACATCTTGGGTGTAAAATTTAATATTAGTTGATTAACAAAACCTTTACATGGGAGAGGGTGGGATTATATTCCGATTTCATCCATTTTCAAAACGTCGGGGTTCTTACAGGATTTACCAAGCGAATTTGGTTATTGTACCTTTAGTGGTTTAGGAGATATGTACATTTAATCCCTAAGAGGGCGGGACCCATTTTTTTTAAATTTTTTGGCCACAGGTACTTCTTGCTACTGCAATCCCCTGTGCTATATTACAGTTTTATATTTTAATTAAGTGCTTAGTTATGACGGTTTTCGATCAAATGGCAGTGGTCCGGAACACGTGCATAATTTTCATTAAGATATCCTAAATTTTTCTCAAGTTATTGCTTGTACAGACAGACAGACAGTCACTCGGATTTCAACTCGACTCACCATCCTGATCATTTATATATACATATATATAACTCTATATCTAACTCGATAAGTTTTAGGAAACAACCGTTGGGTGAAAAAAGCTATTATACTCTGTAGCAACATGTTTGTAAAAGTATAAAAATAAATTCACAATTCATTAGAAGTTTTGGTGGTACGTACATACAGTCAATAATCTGTACGAAATTCGGGGACTTATGAAAGAATCCTTTCAAAACAAATTTGTTTACACAAGAATTCTCCCATTGAATAGAAATAGTTAGGAAGATTGGTCAAGCATAATTAAGCAAACGCATAACAGAGCTCATCGCAGCTATAATGAAAATATAAAGCAAATACATACAAGATATTAGATAGCATGAACAAAAGTTCACAACACCCCCTCTCAAATCATTATTGCAAAGGTTAAATATTTAAATTTGCTCTTACAATCTAAGACATACCACTACCAATGGGCAAAAAGAACAAGTCCATTCGACAATAATTGAAATAGCTAGATGCATATTCGTCGATAATAATGTTGATTGGCTCAGCTCATAGTATTAATAGACTGCACTCGGCGGTACGCACTGATTGAACATGGAGACGTTTCCATTTAGGAGAATAGAGACATTTTTCATATTATACATTTAAAATATTTTGAAAATGTAATGAAAAAATTTATAACACTGTCCGTTATGAAGGAATTCCGTTATTATAGAAAATATTGATCATTGAAATAAGATCAATTAAGCCAGAAGCCTAAATGACGGAATAGGGGAATAAATGAATTAGGAACTTTGGAAATTAATACCACGTACTACGACAATTTAATTAAAATTAATGACAAGAAAGACGACTTAGTGATAAACAATATCAAACAATTTTACACGAGTTCAGAAGTTACAGAAAATAACATATTTGATAAATGCAGTGAAATAGCTTCAAAACATGACCTTCAAAATATAATAAATACTGCTACATTTGGAAAAAATGAATTTTACCTTTCAATGAATTAAAAATCATAACATATTACCAAAATAGTATTACAACGATCACAGATTGTAACAAAAAATAAATTTGATGTAACCCAAAAACTCGATGAAATTGTTCTTTATATCATATGTTTTGTATTTCACTTTCACATGCAAACGAACTGATTCGGTTTGAAATTTGAATTTTCCTGTTCCAGAAATCGAATATTTTTGAGCTGATTTCGAAATCAAATATCCAACCACCCGTTTAATTACTTTGGTTAAAAAAATTATGTGATATGCCGTACAAAAGGAATTGGTCAGTTCTGGAATTTTAAAATACATCAAGAACTTCAACGATATTTTTATTCAGATCACTTTTGGTCGCCTCTTACCGCGCACCTAGCCTTCGGAAAAAAAATGATGCCGCTAAGTTGGTTTTTAAAATGTATTAATTAGAATAAACACGGTGATGCGACGAAGAACGCTGTGTTGCCGGTTTGATATCCAAACGAAAAGGGAGGGCTCTAGCTCTTGGGCAGTTAGGTTGATAGTTGGGTAGCGTAGAGTTGTGGTGTGATGTGATGTGTATGTGTGAGGCGTCTGCATGGTGTGTAATGTCTGCATGGGTAGGTTTTTTTTTTCGTTTTAAGTAAGGGGAATCGAAAGTCGATGTGCAGAACTTTAATTCGCTTAACCTAACCGACTCCCAACTCTAAATTCTCCCACGGAACCACCTGATTAAGTATTACTTCGTGGAGGTTATAAGACATTTAAGTCTCCTCTATGGTACGAACTGAAAGACGTCTAATCTGATCTATATCCAGGTCCCCATGTCGTCTGCCTATTCACGGATGTATGTGCGGTATAAGTTCGTGGGTCCACTGAGTGAGGTTTGCAACCGCTGCTGCCATATTGGTAACGTTTTTCTTATGCACAAGTATGTGACACTTGAGTCTCATTTTAACGTTTTTCTTATGTATGTGACACTTGAGCCCTATACCTGTAATTTGCTGTCACTTTTTATTTTCCGGAGAATTTCAGCGCATGATACACCATCCGTTTTTGTAAGATTTTCTTTTCTCTTCTTAACGACGTCCACCCATGTTTCGCATACAGGTGGTACATACGTGGTATCGATAGGAATTAATTTCGCTGCCCCGTAGTAAGTGGGCTGCAACGGTTTATTTGTATTTTTCGGCTTTTTTGTGGTTGGTGTAAAGCCAAAAATTTTACGCATCCTTTTTGGGGTATTAACATCTTTACCCATAGGAGATACCTGAAATGATTTTCCTACCATAATTATTTTGGGAAAGTTTTCACCTTTCTCAGTCTTGGCATGTACTGTCACCATGCTGCTTGCTAGGTCGCGCATTATTTGGTTTATATGCCTTTGGCCAGCCATCATGTTTTCCAGATACTTAATTTTCAGCAAAAATTGCCACAGAGTATATGCAGGTAATTGCAAATGGATTTTTATTTAAAAATACAAATTATAATTATCTTTACGTATATATTTAGTGTCCGTTTGGATAGTTTCGGCTGTGGAAAATTAGGAGTTTAAGGAAATACCCCAAGACCGCACCTAAAATACTACCACTTCACTTGAAATTCGCAACTGTGTATTTTCTAGAGGATTGTGTTGATTTGGTGTGTTGGCGCTCAGTGGCCTGCGTTGAGGGGGAGGTTCAACTCAACTAGCCAATCCGGCCCTCTAGGCGAATACTAAGCTAGCAGTCGCTGTAGTTGTTGCAGCGGGGCAACAACGCTGCTGGGGCCAGTGGAGAGGCGGTATGATGGCCTGGGCTGCCGACGCCGCCTTGGTAGTGGTCGCGTGTCACTACGAAGAGCGGTTGTCGCTGTGGGTCGTGGCGCTGGAGTTGCGCCAGGCTCGAAACGTTGATGACCGACCTTAAAGTTGGCGTTGGCAACAGCACATGTCCACATCCATATTTATCTGAATAAAGATGTTATTAGAACCATATGCTACATATGTTGCATGGAAATTTATGTATGCGATTGTGCCACGTTATGTGGCAGAAATGGGACGTCATGTGGATCGACCATTGCGTTTAGATTTGTTAGTATTTCCAATGTTTTTTATTATTTCCGGCGTTATCGGTTTTTTTACGATTATTTCATTTGCATGGAGATAGTATTCATTATTTGCGGTTTTGTTATTACATGCGGTTGGCAGAAAACATAATTTAACGAGCGGTATTGTTAGCGTTCCGCTTTGAGTACGGAGATCAACTACTCGTATATGACCATCGGAACCGTAGTGTAGATTTTCTATGCGGCCAAGCCACCATTCTGTGGAGGGTAGACAATCATCATGTATGATGACATAGTCTGCAAGCTTTGGCGCTTTTTCTGGGGCTTTCCCCGGTACCTTTTATGAAGGTTCTTTATATACTCTTCCTTTCATAGGCGGCTGAAATCATGATGGAGAATTGTGATTCGTTCCCATCGCTTTTATACGGATCGCGACTCCACGCCTGGCGCAGTTATATCCAAAATAGATGCTCCTTTGAAAAGATTCCCTGGGGTTAGGACTGTGAAGTCAGAGGGATCTTATGAGAGTATTTTGAGTGGCCGTAAATTGAGAACGACCTTTCCTTTCGCATATAGAAATAGGTTAAGGACTAAGAGTGAACTCCGTTTGTCAAATAGCGCATTTGAGTTGTACGATTAGGGCGAACTTTACCTTTTGTAATTCTAGGTGCGTCAATGTATCGCATTGAGGGTATTCTGGGAGAACTCCCTTAACTTTTTTTTTAATTCGCTCTATGAACTTTAACATATAGGCGACTACTCGGAGGGCTCCGGAGAACGAGGAAAATCGCTCAAGGATGTCAGTATCCTCCAATGTTGTGTGAAACGAATCGATTTTTCGACTTTCTGGGGCAATTATATTGCGCATGGGCGATTGTGGCCACGAATCGAGTGGATTCTGCTAACCATCTGGGGCCATTCCTCTAGAGGGTGGTCATGGTATGGTGTAGTTATTTGTACCCTCTTGTACCTAGACCAGCAGGATTGTCATCAGTGGCTACATGTTGCCAAGTGGCTGACCCCATGAGGTCAAGTATTTGAGACGTTCGATTAGAAATGCACGTCTTCCATGCATGTGGTGGCTTTTCCAACCAGGCTAGAACAATTTCAGTATCGCTTTGTATGTACACATAGATAGTGGCAGAGTTTTCCTTTTTAGAGACATCACAGAAGCCGTGTAATTCGACTTTGTATTCGGAGAAATAGTTTACCCATAATAATTTACCATAGAGAATAAAATTTGGATAATGCTGATATTGACTCTGTAGTGTATGAAAACTGGTTAGATATCGCATTCCATTGGATCCTAAGAGTTTTTGTTGTACTTTCCTGTTCGAATTTAAGGAAATAAGTGTCCAACAAATTTTTTTTTGGTATATTCATACTAGATTTTGGTGGTTTGCTTTAATTTGTTTTAAAGGCGGTTTTTAGGGCTGATTTAACCTGTAGTAAGGTTTCGTATGTCGACAGAATATCGTCAACATACGTTTGAGTTTTTAACAATTCGGTTGGAAGAGGAAATTCTAACTTTGTGGATTCTGCCAATTCGTGGTGTGTTCGAATGACTAAATATTTCGCGTAGTGGACTATTGGGAGATTTTCGTAAAATAATTCGTTGAAAATCTTGGTCGTCTTTATGTATGATTATTTGTCGATACATTTTTTCAAGGCCCCCATTGAATACGTATTTGAATATATGCCAATTTAAAATGAGGAGTATTCGATCTGTTTGAGGTGTGGGACCCGTAATTAGAAAATAATTTAGGGGATTCCCTGAGTTAGTGGATCTTTAAGCATTGAAGACAGCTCTTACATTTGTTATCTGTCTTTACTACCTAATGATTAGGCAAGCCGAATGAGTAGTATTTGTCGTTTTTGATTTTTTCACCGCGATTACTTCCTTTATGTGGTTTAAATGGAGGTATTCTTCTAACACGCCATCGTATTCTGGTTTAAGATCACCTTTTTTAAGCAAATTTTTTTCCATAACTAAAACTGCTGTATTGCAGAGATGCGAGAGTGACCTAGGTAGGTAGGTAGGAAAAGTGGCTGTCTTTAGACCCACCCAGGCCTTTAGGAGACCTATTGTGATACCATCGGGACTGTGGTCCCCTCACTCTATTGGCTCCTCTCTGAACCACCCCGTACTTCTGATGAACTTCATCAGTGATACAAGTTTTATCCGTGCAACCTCCAAGACGTCATCAAGAAACCTACGACCGGTGGGTGCGATTATTTTCCATTCATGCCACGTTTGCCTGCTAGTGGAGCAAGTCAGGGGCTGATTCCACTGACACTCGGCTATGTTAATGACATGTTTGTCGATTAAGTATCTACAAGTAGCCAGAGGCATATATATGTCCTCCTTACCAGGATCTAGTTGTGGGGTGGTGCCTGTTCTGGCTAGCTCATCTGCTACACAGTACCTGGGGATGTCACTGTGTCCTGGGACCCATTGCAGGTTTACCATGAAATATGATGTTAGATCTGCTAGAAGATAATGGCATTTTTTCACTGCCTTCGACGAAATCATATGAGACATCAGAGATTTCAAAGTCGCCTGGCTGTTTGTATATATAAATATATTTCTTGTTGTGATCACACTCCTTGTCATTACAAGAAGGCTTTCTTTAATTGCGGTGACCTCCGATTGGAAGATACTGCGGTGGTCTGGTAACCGGAAGGCGATTTTGGTATCTAGTTTAGCTGAGAAGACACCGCCCCCTACTTGGTTATCCAGTTTGGAACCTTCCGTATAGAAGCTTATCCCTGCTTCCTTGTGCACTACGCCCCTTTCCCACTCCTCTATAGAGGGGAAGGCAATATTGGGGACCGGATTTAGATTCAGCTCTTTAGGATTGCGAAAATCCGTGGTTATGGGAAGAGACGGGAACTTCCTAAGTATAATATAATGCCCTTTGTTGCTAGCGACTAGTAGGGAGGATTCCTTCAGTCTCAGAGCTGACTTCGCTGCCATTTGCTTGCAAAACAGATCTCTTGGCAGTAAGTGTAAAATTCCGTTGAGTGCCTGGCTTGGCATAGTTCTGAGAGCTCCACTGATGCAAATACTGGCTTGTATACTTTCCATGCTTCTAATCGCATATTTCTTTTCTGTAATTGGCCACCATACTAATATACCGTAAGTCTTGATCGGCCTTCAATTGCTGTGTAGAGCCAGTAAGCTGCCCGAGGCGTCAGTCCCCATCTGGGCCCCAAAATTCTTTTACACGTGTAAAGCGCTGTAGCTGCTTTCTTTACCCTCGTTTCCAAGTTTTGTTTCCAAGAAAGCTTTCTGTCCAAAACTAGTCCCAAGTAGCTTGCTTTATCTCCTATCGTTAGTCTGCTGCCATTTAAAGATGGCGGCGTGATTTCTGGAGTATTGTGTTTCTTAGTGAACAATACTAGTTCTGTCTTGCGTTTTCTAGATCCACAAGCATTTTATTCATTGTCAGGATCCAGAGAAGTGGGGATAACACGCCTCCTTGGTATGTACTCCTGCGGACGGATCTAACCATCGTTAAAGCTAACAGCGTTGAAATAATTGACCTGCCCAAGAGCATCTGTTCAAATAATTTCCTGAGAGGCTCAGAGATGTCCTGGATGTTATTGAAAGCACCTTCTATGTCTAGGAAGGCTACGAGGGTGTACTCTTTTATATCCAGAGACTTTTTAATCTCTGCTACCACTGAGCTGAATGCCGTTTCTGTGGATTTTCCCTTAGAATACGCATGCTGCGAAACTGTATGTATTTGTATTTCTGTATATGTATTTCTATTAGTCTCTCCAGCGTTTTTAAAAGAAATGCTGAGACTAATTGGTCTAAAATTCTTTGGATTAATGTGTGAGCTTTTGTCAGCCTTTTAAATATATATAACCTTGACTTCCCTTCATATCGAGGGAAGATAGTTTAATTGCAACCTAATTCCAGTCCTAATTCTTCCCCTACTGTTGGTTAATGGACAAGCCACCTCTAGTGCTTGACGACAAGAATCTGTGAACTGTTTAACGAGGATGTCTAGGTCCTCTTTGTTCTCTGGTTGAAATGGTGGAATCATAGGAATAATATAAATAAAATATAAAATATTAAGCTCCTGCATGTGCAGCTGCCAGTTCATTTTCCTATGATTCCTAAATCTGTCTTCACTAACTACATTCTCTTCAATTATACACCCAATGTAGCGGTGATCTGAGAAGGAATGTTCCTCCAGCACCCTCCAGTGTGTTATTTTATCCACCAGTTCTTCCGATATAAGTGTTATGTCGAATACTTCCTGTCGGTTTCTGATTAAAAATGTTGGCGTACTACCTTTATTGCATAACAAAAGCTTATTTCCTAGTAAATAATTAAAGAGCAACTCACCCCTTTCATTGATGTCCCTGCTGCCTCATAGTGTGTGGTGTGCGTTGAAGTCGCACCTAAGTATAATCGAGCACTTGGATGCTTCGCTGTCTCGTACCAGCTCTTTAATCAGCTGCGATGGTAATGCTACTTCGTCATACGGCATGATGCCAGCCGGTATTTTTTTCAGCCCGTCTCCCAGCTTACTGCTGTAGTGTCGTTATTACTATAAGTGTGTAATAAAAAGACGTTAAGCTTTTTACTAGCCATATACATGCCCTAACCTTACCTACGCAGCCTGCCATGTATAAATTATACCCCGGTGTCCTCAGATCGCAAATACGCCCTCCATTAACCCATGACACCTGAATGAGGACGAAGTCAGGCCGTTCTTCTGCCATGCGGTTAACTAGGGCTAGAGAAGCTAGGTTGCTGTGGTGTAGATTAATTTGGATCAGACGCATTAATTAGTGTCTTCTCTGCGTCTCAATGTAAAGTTTAGAGAGTCTGTCTGCAAGCTCAGACCCCGAAGTACACTCACCTTGTTCAGTGTTCTCCACATTACTCGAGGACTCCATTGACTCTGGTCCGGCTTCGATGGTGTAGCCGGAATCCATACCCTTGCTCTCGGTCGGGATAAGATATCTTTTTTGTCATCCTCATCCTCTTCCAGCACCCCAATAATGCGGTTCCGGGCCACGTCAGTAGCCGTCTTAGCTGACATTTGTCTCTTAGTTACCACTGCCGGCGCTTCTAGATCTCGTGCAATCAATGGATTCATAGAGTTCTTTTGTGATCTCCTCATTGGTTGGCGGTTACAGTTCCACCTTCCTCAGCAGGTATGCAGCGCGTCGCTTCTCTGCATACCTTCCCTGGGTCTTCAATCTTAACGGTAAGCCATTCTCAGGCTGACGCACTACTGGCAGCATCTTTTTTGGTATCTCCCACCTTCTCTTGCTTATCAGCCAAGCCTTGGCTACAGGGGTTGGTATGGGCTGCCTCTGGTGCTGTTGCTTTCTTGGAACCAGCTTTGGCTTCTGCACCTTTAGTGTTTGCCTTTGCTCTAGGAACAAGCTTCGCTCCTGTCCTCGCCTTTGCTGTTGTCGAGCTCGTGCCAAACACTGCGCTCTTCTGGAAACAACTCGCTCCCTCCGACCTTTTTAAAGGAGGTCCGGACTCTTTTATGTTTAAATTTTTTTTATCTTTTAACTGGCTCATATTTTTGACCCACGAGTGTAGGGGAAAGTATGTCCGCTTGCGCATAGCCCCCGCTACGCAAGTAAGGCTATCTTATTACGGAGGGCGCCAGGTCTCCGTAAGCTCCGTGCGAGACTGGGCTATTCAAGGCCAGGTTAATCTTCGGCATGGGTCGCAACTTGATCCAGCCCTTTACACACCTCATACAATAGTAAGACCTCCTATTGAAGAGGACCAAGCACCCAGATAGGAAGCCTGACCTTAGCTAGATACCTCACTACTGCAACAGGCGACTACTGCCTAAGGCGAGTGTGTTAGGAAATTTTTGTTTTAGTGGTAGTCGTGCGACGTACCGACCATTACCTGATATAGTAGATGTGGCTTTGTAAAATTCTTCACAATACTGATCTTCAGGGGTTGTGATTGATATGGATGGGAGTTCTTCTAACTTCCAAAATTTCTTTAATTGTGAATTGAGGTATTCGTTTGAGATTTCGTCAACTTGAGTTGTCATGGTGGTAACTGTAAATAGTATTTTGTGCCAGAAGGGTGTTTGAATTGATTCCAATACCTTCGAGTAATATTATATATGAGCGAGGGTGTTGCAGTTCGGATCTGCCAGCTTTAGGTGTGAAACCTTTTGCCAATGCTTGCTATTTAGCTTGCTTAGCCTGCTAGCTTGGAATCATATTTGTTAGTTCCGGTAAGAAAATAGCTTCTGCTTGAATGCGCTCATCCGCTTTGGGGAAAATTAGGGTAATGGGGCAGATTTTGTTTGAATGTTGAACTACTCTTCAGCCCATTCCTGTAATTTCAAAGTTAGCTTGATTTGTTGGCAGTTATAGCCTCTGTTGTGCCCGCTTTGCGTTTGATGGAGACGACAGTTGTGGGTAGTAGTACTTTACTGTGTATGTATGATGTCGTTTATGAGAGTAAACGCAATTAAATTTGCTTTCGCACTCGTTAAGTACATGCGCATGTGACAGGCAGTTTGTACAAAGTCTTTTACTATTAAATTTTTTTACTGCCCTCCTGTACATAGTTCGCATGACGTTTATTTTTATTGTTCGGATGTGAAGGTTTAATTTGTGAAGAAACTTGCTCCGCTGTAGGTCATGTTAAACGTTTTTCGTTCTGACCATTTTTTTGTCTACCCTTTCTGCGATTTAGTATTGGGTAGTCAGAAAATCTTTCATTTGTTGTCACTGTCGGAACTTTTTTCGTGATGAGAGCGATTGCTCTCATAGAGGTATTGATTTTTCTGGTAATGCAGCGGTGGTTTACCGGTCTGGGGTCCTAGCTGTTTGTGGGAATATTCTGTGTCGATAAAACCTACAAACTATTTGAAACAGTGGATTAAAGTTTGATATATTCTTCGCTTGTTTCCTTTTGAATCTTTGGAAAGCTCATTAATATCGTTATTTTCTTATCGTCCAATATTCTTTCGTTTTCGTCTCTTAATTTAAGAGCTTCCCAAGCCCAATTGAAATTATCGTCATTTAGTGCGAACTGTTTTACTATTATGCCTGCTTGATCTTTTGATTTGTATCGGATCGGAGGTGATACAATTTATGTGCATCTGATAATTTTAGGTGGTTTATGTAAACGAGTGTAAAAATGTCCCGGAAGGACAACGAGTGCTCATAGCTACCATGAAAAATGTCTGTGTCACATGCGGGCACCTTGAGGTGGATGCCTGAACTTGCCTATCGAAATTGAAATTGTGGCAACTCCACTCTTGACTGTGGAGTAGGCTTTAATTACGTTAATTGGTCAGGTTAGCTTTTGTTTCTTCTAACTGGTCTAAACAGTTTTCGTATTTGGCGAAAGCCGAGGATTTTAAATTTTTCGGTATATCTGAGCCGTCAGATTCTATTATTGCGTCATATGCAGCTTGGAGACGTGTCTAGAAATTGTCAAGATTTTTTTATTCCTAATGCCGATTCAGAATTGTCCAGAATCGGCGAAGATGAAAATCGAGTCCAGCATCGTATTAGGCTGTCACTCTCGGAAATAAATTTGGCGTATGAAATATCTTTCACCCTTTTTTGTATTGTAGCACCTTGCTTTGAGCGTGTTGCTTATGTTGGTGTACATGGACCTTTTTCGTCAGAAATCATCTTTGGAACTTTTAGCAACTGAGTGGTTTTAGAATCTTTCGAGTCTGAGCTCATTTAAAAGACGTGTTGAAATAAAAAAAAAAGTTTCTTAGTGTAAACTGATGTAGATTTTTTGAAGTAAATAAAAGTTTCGAAAATAATTTAAGAAAACAAAAATGCTTTCAAAATCCGTATATACTCGTATGT